CCCGGGGCGCTCCGGGGCGGGGGCCGCCGCCGAGCAGGGCTCCGCCGCCGGGAAGACCCCGCCGCCCGAGCCCCGCTGCGGCTCCCGCAGTCCCCTGTTCTCCGCCTCCGGGCTGGGCGCGGAGCCGAACCCCATGTCCCCTGGCTGCCCGGAGGCCCCGCGCGGAGGAGGGGGCGCCGCGCCTACCTGCTCCGGTGCGGCGGGGCCGCGGTCGCCTGGCGGGGCCGTGACCTGCGGCGGCGGCAGTGGCGGCGTCGGCGGCAGTCGCGGCGAGGAGGGCGCTTCCTTCAGGAAGGGGTGGGATCTGCCCGCCCGCCGCCTGCCGCGCCGCGGCCCGCCCCCGACTTATTCTGGGGTCCCGCTTCCAGGCCTCCCGGGGAGAGTGACCCCCCCCTCCACACCCCCGCGGGGCCTCCGGCTTCCACCACCCCTCGGGACCCCGCATAGTTACCCGGGGCTGGAGCCGAGCGGGGACGGTGGAACCGCTTCTTTCCAAAGCCTTTGTGAACCCGATTGCCTGGCGCTCGCTCCTCACTCAACAAAAGGAAGGACTGAATCTGGGATCCTCCGCTTGGTGGTTATTTATTCCTGACCTGTTGTAACCTGCTGGTCGGCTCCCTTCTGTCCCCACACCTAGGGTTTTTGCACAGAGCAGCTAAAACTCATTTTCGTGCCCACTGGCTGAATGCAGTTCTCCGCCGCTCAGCGCTCTCCCGCGGTTTTCTTTCATCGTGAAGAGCAAACACAGGGCCAACTTCTGACCCTGGCAATGAGCGGAGGCTCCAAGGCCGCCCTCCCAGCGCCAGGTTGCTCTCTTCCTGCCAGTGTCTCATCTGAGTCTGCTATAAAACTGTATTCATCGGCATCTGAATAGCTTTCCCCACCGCAGACCGCAGCCAATCAGTGGCACCATGTCAGTGACCTCTGGCAGCAGCGTGGATCAAGGCTATTTTTATCTCACGCTCACCGTTAACTTCTCTTCCAGACGCAGCCTTCCGGGGCTCCCACGGCTTTAACCATCTGCCTTAGGCTGACCTCCATTCTTTTAGGCCCTCCCCACCACACCTACCTCTTCTCATCTGCTGCCTCTCAAAGCACACTGTTCAAATTCTCCAATTCAACATTCCAGAACTCTTCCTTCCCCCACGATGCCCCCATAATACACTATTATGTGTGTATTGATATGATTTTACTGCTTTTTCCTGGCTACTAGACTGCGAGCTTCTTGAGGCCAGGTCCCTGGCCTCTTCTGTATACCTTCCCTTCAGGTTAAAACATCTGGTTAAAACAGCAAAAACAAAAACTTTAATCTAGATCCTCTGCTGAATTTTGTGGAGGATAGCCTATGCCCATTCTTTCCGAGGAGAGTGACTACTGCTTTCATCAGATCCTCAGTGATCTGTGACTCCCCAGAGCTAAGAATTGCTTGAGGCCAGTCGGTGAATGAACCTCAGCTCTGAGGTGAGGACCGCCTCCCCCCACTTCCATCCCTTCTCTACCATTCATTTCTCTCTGTGATGACTGAAGGCACCCTCTAGCTACACCTGCTTCCAGTCCATTCTTTTAAAACTTCTGGATTCATACAATTAGTAGTCGTTCTTAACTCTGTCTGCGTACCTGAATCACCAGTGGGAGCTTTAAAAAATACAAATGCCTGTATCTACCTCAGACCCCCTAAGTCAGAACCCGAGGGCAGGGAGTGTTGAGCAGAGAGGAGCCATCCAAACAAGGGTATTTTCACAAAGAGTCACAGGTGATTCTGACATGCCCATGACTAAATCACTGCCTTTCTTGGGAGAAGGGTTCCCTATTTGTAAAATGTCCTTACTTTTCCTTGTCTTCATGTAAGGACTGAGAACCCTTGCACTATGTTAAATTTATTTGAACATTTTCATTTTCACGCAGAGCCAGGCCCACTTGTGCTTAAGAAACAAACTTGAATTTGTGAAGATAGGAGGCTCGGTGCCATTTGTCAGCAGCGCTAAATCATCGTCACCTTCATCTCTAAAACGTCCATCCAAATAAACTCAAAGAGTGGAATAAATTACATTCCTGACAGTGATATTGACAGCTGGAAGATTATGTTAAAATCCCAGCCACGAAGGAGAGTTGGTTGTTATAAACAGATTCCATTAATGTCATGAGACTTCTAGTGAAGCTTCAAGAGAACTGAAGACAAACTAAATATAAGTTTATCCATGCTTTGATTTTTCTTTTATTGGTCTTGGTATCCCATCCGTTAAAATTCATCCACGATGTACTCAGTACAATCTTAGATATATTAAATCATGTATGGATGTAAGAGCAAAATACTATCCTGGAGCTGGTTCTCTTTTTAAAAAATGTATATAAAGATCTATCCTGTATTCTAAAATGATCTGTTGACAATGTTCCAAAATGCTTCAGGCTTTGAGGAAAGGTGCAAGTACAGATCAAACAGGGTTTAAGCCCTGGAAATAGAGGCCAGCCACAAACTTGGTGGGTAGGGTGGTGATCAGTATGCAGGGATAGAATCATTCCACAGGATCACGATGAGGCGCCATGCTTCTGACACCATGGTGATCTACCAAGTCCACTGACTTAACTCACAGCACAGGTATCCCTCCATCTGAGTAGGGGTGGTGGCTTTTCTGATATAAGTGAACTTGTTACTCAACTGAAACCACTATAGAACATTTAGAATCACAAAGAAATTCTATATTCTCATTTTCTTTCTCCCTGCAGCCACTTTAATGTTGTTTAAGATTCAGATCAGTTCCTTTGTTCAGCTGGCAAAGCAGACTTGAGAAGCACAACTCATAAACAACACTCCTGGGATTCTGGGAATCCCTGCTGCTGGTCCAGTTGCAGTGAATCTCGTTGTAATGATAATCTGTGTATAACAAAATCATTCCCAGCCTTATCCAATCATTACCAAGCCTTATCAGTTGAATTATCCAATCCAACTGATGTTCCATCTCTGGTGAGCAGCAAAACCATACAAAGTTCATTGAAGTGGCGTTCGATCTCTACCAACATCTACCTATTAAAGAAAGACTCACAGGGTAATTGTAAACATTTAACAGGTTGTTAAACGGGAGCTATTATTTTATTTCCATTTTGACAGGGGCCCCAGATAATGGTTGCCAACCACTCTCACATTCCAAACAAGTTGTAGGACCACCAAGTAGGGCTTCCAAAGGAGTGTTGCCTGACCTTTCACTTGCTTTGAAGGTATAAAAGGGTTGAAGTGGAGGCTGCCGGAAGTGCTGTGGGTGAAAAAGGGTTTCTATGGAAGGAGTTGTAGGTGTCCTAAGAGACCCCTCCTATGCAGCCCCCAGGGGGAGGGAGAAGGGTGTTCTTCTCTCACCTTGAGTCTGATGAGAGGGACTTCAGGCCGGTCTCTCGGAGAGCTTGAGATGTGTCCCCTGCAGTTTGGGAAATGCCATGGACCAATGTCTGGCTCACGCCTGAGAAATCTAAAGGGCCAGTGTTGGTAAAAGTGGCCTGAACACAGGCGGGTAGGGACTCTAGTAGGGGAAGTAATTTACTTCCACAGAAGACAAGTCTAAGATAGTGAGACAGACAGTGTGGGCTTGACTTTGATCTACCCAAGAGGACTGCTTGGAAGGGCAAAGAGACCTCAGCAGATAGAAGCCAGAGGTATGCCTCCGGATGCCCCGGGGGCGGAAGAATCTAAGGCAACCATCAGAGGCAAAATGAACTTGCCTGGGCCAAGGCATTGGGTGGTGAGAGATTGCCCAGCAGGGTGTTGGTGGCTCCAACAAAGCCATGAGATAGCACCAGTGATAGGAAGTGTCAGCTCCATGGCCACAGGAAGCCATGCCCACCTAGAGCCAGCTTTTTGCCTCCTTAGCTCTCTCTCTTTCCCACTTTAGTCCTGGAGGAGTTAGACAGCCTCCTGTTGTGCAAGGAGGGGAGAAGCCAGGCTGCAGAAATACAGCGAGAGCCTACCATTACGCGCCTTTGCCACTGGAGTGTGGGCTTTTTATTATTACACTAGACCAGATGTATTAATTACTGATATAAGACTATTTTTGACTACCAATAACCAGAGGCCTTTTGTTTTGTTTTGTGTTTCTTTTTGAAATGGAAGTATAGTTGATTCACAATGCTTCAGGTGTACAGTAAGGTTTCAGTTATACATATACATGAATCTTTTTCAGATTCTTTTCCAGTATAGGTCATTACAAGACATTGAATACAGTTTCCTGTGTTATACAGTAATACTATTTTATATATAGTAGTGTGCAGATGTTAATCCCAAACCCCTAATTTATCCCTCCTCCCCCTTTCCCCTTTGGTAACCATAATTTTGTTTTCTATATCTGTGAGTCTATTTCTGTTTTGTAAATAAGTTCATTGTATCATTTTTAGATTCCACATATAAGTGATATGATATGATATTTGTCTTTCTCAGAGGCTTTTTTATTATTTGAGAGTGACCTCAAAAGTCATAGCTCCTACACATTAATTTATTCAAGGGGTGGGAAAACAACTAGCCCCACAGAGCAGGTTTGAACAGGCATGACAGAGGAATATAGAGCTGTTTTCTGATTATACCATGAGTCCCGCCGGGTCAACATATCAGCTATATATTCAAATATAATGCATTCCCTATTATACCTTAAAACCTCTGGGGATGTGTCAAGCTGGCATCTTACCTGAATTACAAATAAGTGAAATGTGTCAAGAAACTCCCTTCATGTGTAATAAATTATAACTTAAGCTTCCCAACAAGAAAGAAGTAAGGATACTGGATTAAAAGATCCAAATGGATCTATATGTTGGTTTAATCTTCGCTGTGGTTTCCTCATCTAGGGGACTGGGATTAGATAAAAGGTCTCTTTTAGTCAGAAAAGTCTAGGTTTTGAAAAGGCTACAGCACATACAGCCTGCCCTAGATCAGGGACCAATGAATTCTTCAGGGTCTGCTCCACTGGACCAGCAGCACTCAGACCAGCATATCTGGTCTTAGAGGACTGCAGTGCTTTGCAGTGATAAGGGAGAAATATTTCTGAAATGCAGAGGGACAAGTAAAGTGGTGCCTTCCTTTGGAGACCAACGTGTGGTTGAGGTTGATACGATTTCTTTGCTGACGGTTTCCATATTATGCGCTTGGCAGTTGCGATCTGGGAAAGCCCGAGCACTGCGCTGTGTTCTCTTGGGTGCCAGGTATTATCATCTCGCTGTCCTCCAGTGAGAAAGCAGGGTCTGAAAGAGGTCTGTGGCTGGTGCCCAGAGGAAGAGCCTCAAATACATACCAGATTCCGTGTTCTGAAATTCACCGTAACCCCATTATCCCCATTTGAACTACGACACTGTCCTTTACTACAAGAGAAAAAAGCCAAAAGAGTGTGAACAATTTTTATTTCAATTAACCCCCTCTCTTTGGACCTTTTGCCAATATGCACTGTTTTTTATGAAAGGCATCCATTCTTTATTTGATAAAAAAAAACAGAAAGAAAAATCCCTCCTAAATCAGAGAGCTAAAGATTAATCATTTTATGGTATGATATTCTTTTTGTCACGGGTGACTGTTTTTGAGGAATTTAGATCATTTGTATTCAGTCTTTTAAAGTTCTTCTTAGGAGATGTTGCTTCAGCCCTAGAGTTTTTGTGGTCCCACTCTGCTGTCTGCCCCAGCCT